CGGTTGGACTGGATGATCTTAAAGGGCTTCTCCAACCTAAACATTTCTGTGATTCTATGGTAACTTTTGAAGTATTTGAACTTGAGTGGAGGAGAGCATCTGACCTGCTTTAGCCTTGGTTCCTGTTTGAGGGCTGCGATGGATGACCATTTGTCACTGTGTCTGTTTTTCACTTCAGGAACGCGTTTTAGGAAATGGTGAACCGTGAACTTTTTCTGACAGGATAACATTTTAAATACAGACTTCACTTTAAGTTTTTGAGAGGCTGAACTGGATTTGAGAGGTCTAATTGAGGTGCCAGAGCACTTAAGCCCAATGATTTTTTTCCAGGAGTTGAGTTTGAACAAGTGACCTCTCTACTGACGGGTGGTGCTGTTGAGGCGCTCTGTATCAGCTCTGCGGGAGGCTGTTGGTTTGTAATCTTGGGTAGAGATGCGTAGCCTCCGGCAGTTTAGAGGCCATGAGTATGGATCGGGGCCCTCAAGCCAATTTCCTTTCCCTGAAGGTGAGTGGAGTAGAAGGGGGATCCCAAGGCAGTTAGAACACTTCTCTTTCTGGTGCAACGTTCGGTTGAAGTTTACTCTCTTCGCAGTTGCTGAGTGACAAATCTGGCGGTGTTCCTTTTCTCCGTGATGCCAGTTCAACTTCCATTGAAAGTTATTTTTTAAACACTCTGTGCACTATTATTTCCATCAACAAATGAGGCAAACGGGGATGAAGAAACATTTTTCACAGGTGCAACATCGCTGTACGTGTTGGCATCCTTTTCAGCGCTTGCACTGTAGGGGTTGGTACTGCGGTGTGTAATCTGGAAGCTGTCGGAAGTGCAGGGTGATAGATGTTTTGTGTGTGCTTGAATTGGTGTGGCTAGGACAATCCTACGTTCTGTAATGCTTCCAGCAGCGGTGCTCACGGCAGTGCTGGCAGCTGTGAGTCGACGCTGTGGTAGCAGGGTTGCTTTGGAGGTGCTTGACAGAACATCTTACTGTAGGCTGAGCAGTTATAAGGAGCAGTTTGTTCATCTGAGTCTTGTGTTTTGGGGTGCCCTGTGTTTAGGATAGGTTCTGTGTCTGTAGGGTGGGATTGACTAGTTCGGAGTCAGCTTCAAATTTCTGCGCTTGCCCCAGGAAGAGAGATGCTAAGGAATGACTTCCAGCCTGCTGTTAAGGAGAAGGTGAAAGACCACTTGCCAGCTCATGGGTCCTCTCGTACTCAATGCCTGTGGAAAACGCAAGCAGCCAAAAAATGAGCAGCTGTATTCCAGTGTGATCCTGGTTGGAAGAAAGCTGAGATGTAGGAATCCACTTCTGAATAATAGACATAATTGCACTTAAGGGCTCAAATTAAAACTGAGGCCCCAAATTACAACTGAGGCCCTTTTTGTTTTACATGCTTGACACGAGCAGATGGAAATCGTATTGCGCTTAACTCCAGATTTATGTAAGTCGGGAAACATACTTTCTTAAGGAAGTGAGAGTCCGAGGGACTGCGCTGTAAAAATGCCATGTGGTCTGACCTGGGGCAGCTAACAGCGTGCTCGAATGGGAGCTGCTGCGGGCAGGCAAAATTCTCTTCTATAGGAATTTCAGAACTGTTCGGCTAGGGAAGGGAAAAAGAAACACGGAACCTGAACTCTCTTTATGGCCGAGAACTTGAGCCCTTTTTGTCTAGAAAATAGTTAAATAGTCAAGTCTTCCAATAGGGGAAGTCAGTTGATTACAAATGTATCTCATAAAATACAAATCATGGCAGTACTCTCCAGGCGCGTTATTTCTGCTTTGGGGAAGAATTTGAAATTGGAAGTTGGCAAAGAACAACTTTTCAGAGGTTTCATATTGATTTAGCCTAAATCTCACCTTAAATATTGCAGGTACAACTAAAGGGATTTGCCTTTTGGAGCGCTCGCGTTCTTTGTGCATTTTGTTAACATCTAGTGGCCAGTCTACGTAACGAACCAAGGTTTTTTCTTTTAAGGTTCTGTGAAGCAGGGGAGCTCAAAACTCAAGACAGCTTCTGCAAATGTGTTCATTTATGCCTAAACATGACACTAGTATTCAAAGTTGTGATTCATACACGGGTCAAATTCCAGTTAAATTTGCCTGCAGCACCGTCCTGTGAGTTCCATGTCATACCCCTGTGTTCGGGTTTTTTGCAGGAAGCCAGCCTTCTTTACACACTTTTTGATTTGTTCTAGGTTTTTTTAAAATCTCTCTCTTGCTGTTCAGCGTTCAAGCCAGGAATTGGGCTTTTTACCTTTTCTGTAGATGTCCCTGTGGTTTATGTTATTTGATAATTAAAATACTGCATACTTTTGACACTCAGCTGTTTGAAAATATTTCTGTTCCTTATTTCTAGGACTTTGTTTCATACATTGCCAGAAGTACAGTTGAGTCACTAGGTCCTCGTCGACTTTTGTAAGTGGAGAAGACCCGGCTTTGTCAGGAGGAAAGTAGTGGGGGACTGGACCCAGGTCCGTTGATTCGGAAGTGGGGCCGTTTGCAAAGCAGCACGGCTTTTCATCTGTAATTGCTGTGCAGTTCATGTTTCTCATTTAGTTACTGCCTGTGGAAGTGCTTGCTCCAGAGAGTGCAATTAATAATTCTCTTTTACTTGACAAAGTAAACAACCTCAGATTAATTGGATAATAAAAGCTTTGCTATGCTTGCATTTTTTTTCCACTTCATATGCTATTACTGGAAGGCTGAGAGATAAGCTTTGTTTGGAGATATTTAGAATGGCTTCAGCAGTAAGTCCACGGAGATTGACTGTGCACGTGACTGCCATTTTTTAAAAAATACACGGTGACCTTTTCCCCTTAAGATGCAAAGTATCTAGGATGAACTGCTTCTAGAAATCAGGAGAAAATAGGAGCAGCGATGCTTTAAAATGCTGTAATGCAGCCCACCCGCTTGTTAATAGCGAGTCCTGCAGGTACTCCTGCTTCTCTTCGCTGCAGCACGGCGATGTTGGCGTGCGCGTGTCGGAATGGAACAGAGCGTAGCTGAGGGAGTGCAAGAGCTCGGGGCTTTGGCGTGTTTACTTCTCCAGTGCAGCCAACCCCCTTGAGGAATGGAACTGAAATAAGAGCAGTCTGGCTCGGGAGTAAGTATATATCATGTTCTCTGCTGTCACAAGCTGTTCGCTCCTGTGACAACTCAAAGCTTGGATTGAAGATCTCTCTGGAAAATCAGGCTGAAGTCTGAGAGGTGCTGAAATGCAGAAGTGAGGACTTGACCACAATGTAGTCTTTCAAAAATCCTAAAGATAGGGGGGACAACTAATTCTGATACTCTGGACAAATTAAATTTGTTTGGTGCTTTGGGCTTTTATAACATTCCTCCTCCAAGTTCTACGAGGCGAGATGATGTTCCTATGGTGTTAAATAATGCAAAACACAGATTTGTGGTGCAGGCCTGAGCGAAGGAGCTGTGGTGTTACTGTGCTGGCACTATAATGGCTGTCGGCATCCCTGGGTTTGTAACGGTTTCTGACTTTCCTTGCTGCTGTTGGGATGAGCATCGCTGTGGCCTGTTTTGGGCCTATAGTCAAACAGCATTTTCTAGTCCTTGTTGTGAAAGCTTTGTGGTCCCCTCTCAAAAAATTACACAAGTTGGTTTTGTTTTTTCCCTTACTGTTCACTCATTTTCTGGCTTGCAAAATGAAGGCAGATTGCCCAAATGAGCACGCAGCCTCACAGTTGGTTACTGCATCCCTTTGATGCGTAACTCCTAGGCTGCAGAAGATGCAATATCATCTGACTTAGTTTCATTTGCAGTGAAAGGAGATGATGAGGTGAAGGTGCATTAACTTCAACTTTTTCCCCCATGTACGAACGCAGACCCTTTCCTCAGCTAAACCCATGCATGGTAATTGAGCCCAGAACCAATTCCAAAGTTTTTCCAAAAGGATCTTGGCCAAGTCTATTGATTTTTATGCTTCGCTTGACTAAATTTCCTTCCAGAGACTGAAATCTTGAACCTGCTGATGCCTGCAGGAATTTTGTGACGGATTTCAGTGGGATAAGAATTTAATTTTTTTTTTCTTTTTTCTTTTCTTTCTTTTCTTTTTCTCCTTCCTTCTTATAAGACAGGTTGAAGCCAGATCAGTAGCTGCTCCCTTGGGTGGTAGTCCTCTGTGGGATGTGCTGGTCTTCCAAGCTGTAACACTGGGATGCTGAATTGGGCACTGAGCGATGAGGACACATCTCCAGACTTTGATACTTTGGTATTTTTGACAAGCTGGTCAGCAAAGAAGTAAGTGGCAGTAAGGTAAGACAAACTGTAGATTATCAATGACCACGATAACATGAAATGATCATTTTCTTATGGCACAGATCATTAAGTCAGTCAGGTAGAAAAACCAAAATGTATTAATGCTTACTCCAAGCCTCCCTCTCCCCAACAGTCTGGGTAATATTTTGCCCTTTGTTTTCTCCTCACCATTTGCCTGATAATTTTGTAAGTGGCTGAGATGCAGAGAGCAAAACCAACAGCAACAACATACTCCAATCGAAAACCTTCTTGTGCTTTTTATTGCTACTAGATTTCACTTGCACAGTGAAACTGCGGCCCTACAGTGCGATGTGCTTGCTTGTGTTTTCTGAAAACGGAGACACATGGGGTAGTGGTGCAGTTCTGAAGACAGAAGAGTCTGCAATAGTCTGTGCATCATTGAAATGCCACTTCTCAGTGGTAGTTGGCTAAAGAGAAGATGCAGGTTACCCTAGGACAGCACGGAACACCGTGAGAACGTTGGGAACTGGAAAGAGATGCCAAAGCCTTCTACGAACTCGTATTTTGTGTGGTCAGTTACAGATTTTAAGTCTGAGTTTGCGTGCCTGGTAACTCATCTCCCTCTGTCTCCTCTGAAAATTCAGACCTCTCTGAACTTTACCAAGTGAAGGTCCAAAATGACTCGTTTATCAAAGACTGGGCCAGGTGAGAGAGGCGGAGGGAGCAAAGAGCAGCGTTCTTGTGTAACCGCAGCTGCTGAACGGGCCTGAGCCCAGGGACTTGGGGAACCTGCCAGGTAGCCCTTCCTCACAGAAGAATCCTGCCAACAGAGGTGTTCTGAGGTGTGAAACTTCGGAAAGCTAATCAGGAATTGTGGAATTCATGTTTTGCAATGCTCGCTCCTATGAGTAGACCCGTTGTATTTAATAAGACTGTTAGGCAGATACGCAACACGCCAGACGTTAGGCTAATGTCTGTTGGGTTCTGTTTTCTAATGTATGCTAAGCTTCTAAATGGCTCACGTGCTTTATCAAAGAAACTTGTAAAAAAACTAAGCCCTTTTTTCTTGTTGTAATTCTTTAAGGCTTAGATCTCTAGAGGTGATGATAACAACATGAATACAAATAACATCCCAACCACTGGCCGGTATAACACGGTTGAATGTGAAGGGAAGGGAGGTGTATTTGGAGAGCAGTGTCTAGAAATGCTAATTGTTGCTAGGAGCCAGCATACTACTAACAGCAAACTGTTTTCTTTGGCGAGAAGTGCTGCCCTTACTGATAAATCTTTGGGTTTTAATCCTTATTGGTACTAAAAAGCCCTCTGTGCAGAAACGGAACTAATACTTGGCAAGCGGGACAGATACAGCATCTGAAGCTCTTGAATGATACAAAGATTGTTTCTTTTTTCATGCTTTTGATTATGTTATGATTTGGAAGAGTATACGGAAAAGAAACAGATCTCATGTTGTATCTGTAGAACGACTGCCAAAAATATTGAAATGATTTAGCAACAAACACTTATTTTTCTCCATAATGTCAGGTTTATGGTGAAGCATTCCAGCATTCTTGGTAGAATCCTTTCTTAATGTTTCTATCTAAATATTTCTGCTTTATGGAAGTAAGCTGAGCCAATAAACTTCTCGTCATCATGGCCTTCTCTCCAAGTTTACAATACTCTTCAAGTCAGAAAAGAAACGCTTCGAGAGGTCAACTACTAGCTCTGTCTCACGTTCATCACAGATTAAGCCCCCATAGCTTATTTCAGGAAGGCTTTTTACTTTGTTATGGGAACCTCTGTTCTTCAGATTCTCTCGGCAGAAATTTGGATTGTGGGGATTGTTGATGTTGGGGTCAAATGGCCGTTCTATTCTTACATCTGTCCCAAACCTATCTGGAGACACTGTCTTGCTGGATATGGAAGTTGCCCATCTGCAACAGTTTTTCTGCTTAAGCTTAATTTGTATTCCAAGCTTGCAGCCTCTGTTAGCTTTTATTGCTGAAATTGGATGTTGGGATGCTAAATAGCTTTGTAAACCCCAGGATAAGCTGACCTACAAATAGTAGAAGCAGGAAAATACCCTGCTTTCAGAGAAGTAAGACTGAAACTACATACATGTTAGTATTTCTGCCTGCATAAACATTTGTATGTGTCCATACACATGGAAACACCTTTTGTTTATTCAGTCTTAACAGGAGAGCCTCTGCCAAGCTCAAATGCAAATATCAAGAGATATTCCTGAATGTGATACCACACCTAGAATAATGAAAACAGGCTTGTAGGGGGTTTGGGGGGGGGCTGTTGTTGGTTTTTTTTAAATATGTGATGGGAAATGATGGTAGTTTGGGGGATTTCTTTGGTGTAGTCATGCCAGGGTTCTTTCCTGGCATGCTGCTATTTGCACAGCCACTGAAGGCGGACCGTGACTAAATTCAGCAGATGACTTGGGGAAGAGATGGGCTTTGGACTTGAACACTGGATGGCAGTAATATGGTATCATTAGCAGTAACCACCAGCTGGACACTGCTTTGCTGCCCCCAGCCATTTGTAAATAGTGCTCCTGGTTGTTGTGTGTATGGGGTCCTTTTTTCAAGGTGGTTTGAAATCCAGGTGTATTTTTGCTTAGTTCAAAGCCATAACAAGATACTATTAATGAACAGATTTTAATGAAAGATACCCAGCTGTAACTAAAGAGACCTCATTTACTGCAGTAGACAGATAGCTTCTGTCAGGCTCCAAGTACTGCTCCCACTTTGACATCCATGTCCTGTGTTCCAGGGTTGTCATACGGGAGAGTCTTGGCGAGAGAGAGACCTCTGCCGTCAGTCTGGGGTCCCCATCCCCAAACATTACAGCAGAGCTCTAGGAAGGACGATCTACATCCAGGGTTGTTCTTCTGCCCGCTCGCCTCCACGGCCAGTGTCAGCACCCCCCCTCAGTGCAGGTAAGAACACTGTTTTTTCTCTGCGTTTCCTTTGGGTGAGGGACATCTGCACGCGTGGGGCTTCTGGTGAAACTAGGGCGTTGCTCTTGCCTTGGCAGAGCAGCAGCGGCAAGTTGCTGGTCTGCCTAAAAGAGCTGCCCGCCTTCAGAAGCAATTCCCTGGGCTTGAGAGAGAAATCTTCGGCATGCTAGCTACTCACACCAAATACTGTCTGCCCGGCCGCTGTCTTGTTGGAGTGCTTAGCTCTGTCCTTGCGACAAGGATGCTGAGCATGCGCTGTGCTTTATTAATCCACGTTGCTGCGACTTCTGTGCAAGAAGAAGGCTCTGTGGCTCTTTTCTGTGACAAAAGTGGCAGGTCGGGCATATGAGACTTCAACAGCACTGGGCACAGCGACTCTTGAAACCCTGCCCCAGAGGTGAAGTCCTCGTGTGAAACTTGGGGTGGTTTCCGATATTTGGAGTGTGAGGCGGTGGCGAATGTAGCGGTCGGTCGAGGTAAAGCGTTTTCCCTGCCCCCTGAGAATATGGCCGCTGGGGGGAAAGTCGGTGGGCTTGAGGCAAAGAAAGCAAAGGTTACCTTTGTACCTTTTCCCCATTTCTAATCTTATGGATCACTTTCATTCTCAGATTTTATGTCAAATGGTAAGGTTTTCATGGCAGACACAATCTTGTAGTGTGTGTACATGCTTCATCTACTACAAAATACCTCTGACCGCTGTTAGGGTTCCAAGGCAGATGCTTGAACGATCATAGTTCATACAGTTCTTCTGCACTGAGACAAAATTTGAAACTGATTCTAGATAACGGCATGCATGCAAGCTGTGGTATACTGCATTTCAGTTCAGATACTGAAATGATTATGCAACTGAGTCACATAAAATCAAGTGAGCTTACGTTATCGCTGGGAAAAGGAAAGCCCTCTAGCAACCGTTATGTATACATTTCTGAAAAATGTGTGCTGAACATGATTGCTGTGCTTTGTGGACCACACTTGATTTGCATTAGGGTTATTCTAGATCTTAGAATGTATAGATTGATGTAATATGAGAGGCTCTCATATTTCTAGACTTCTGCCGCTTGGCACTTGTTGGACTTCTAGAAGACCCCAGGTAATCGGAGCCTAGCAGTACTTTGATGTGCTCAAGAGAAACAAATAACTGCTTCAGAATAAAGTTTTCCGCTGGCCCTATTTACAAGGCAAAATCATGCAGCATTTTCAAGTCTTTGGCTACAAAGGCTATCTCGTAATAAAACATTGTGCCTCTCTGAGAGAACGGGAATCCTTAGAAGTGTTTTGGTTTAGAAAAAAAGGGAAATATGTTTGGAATTAAAGCAGAGAACAACTTGATCGTATCATACAAAAAGGTGGAGACTGCAGGCGAATAGTTCTGGAACACCATGGCAATAGGGGTGATGTGCCATTGCTGCTAACCCTTTGGCGGGGGTGAAAAGGCCTTACCGCGTGCTGAAGAGTATAATTCCTCGCTGTATATTTGCAATCGAGGCCTCTCTCTGCTCGAGATGAAGTGGAAAAAATCCACTGAACGCTACAGTCAAACAAGATGGTGCTGTGTGTACCTCCGTAACAATCTTCTTGGCATATATATACATGAAAACAAAGCTGTCTTGTTTCCCAGGTAGACTTTAAAGAAATTTTTTTAACAGGTCTGCTTACGGTAGGCAGGGGAAAAGAAAGAAAAAATCCTTGTTACCAAAATGGGAGTGAAGGGTAAAGTGACTGACTGACGCCTGCCTTTGTTTCGGAGGTGACAGCAACATCAGACGTGCCCTTAGCTTGTTTGCAAAGGGAAGTGTTAGATTGCACTGACTGACTGTGAAAGCTTATTTTTGCCCCCTCCCCTTGGGGCCTAAACCAGCATTTCGTACCGGGTGTAGGGATGTCTTTGCCAGCACATCCCACATAGGGGAAACAAATTTCAGCCGCATCGTTTTATAGACTGTATGTTTGCTCACTGTGGATTTCATGTCTGGGTGAACTGTAGGTGTGTTAGAATTGAATATGTGGCTGAAATACTGCAAAATGATGTGTTTATATCTGTGGGTGATGGTTGTAAACAGAAGCTTGAAGCAAGGAGCTGTAGTAGTCCCTCAAGTGATGGGGAAGAGACGTGGGACATTTTTGATGTGTGAGGTGGGCTGGGTTACTCTGTGCATTAAATATGAATTTACGCGCATGCTGTAACGCCTGTCTTGAACAAGAGGCGGGAGGTAGGAAAAATGTGGCTGCGTAGATCTAAGAGTTGGGAGACCCTCCCTGTGGTGCTGGTCTGCTGCTGCGGGCCCTTCAGCCGTCGCTTCCCCCCGTCACAAATGGCTCAGAGGCAGCAAGCTGAACTGGAGACTGTGGCTCTTTGCAAGCCCTTTGCTGGTCAGAGAAGTATCGGTGAGCAGGCTTGCCTGTTCGTTAGTGGTCGTGGTCGCCTGCCTCATTGAAGCGTTTTGGCCCACGGACAAATGTGGAGCTCCTGTTGCTTGTTGGAGTTGCTCTCTACCTTGCTAACCGAGGAAACACCGCTGTTGCTCCCTCCCTAATGGGACACCTTCCAACAGTTATTGAGGCAAATGTGGTTTGATACAATTGTTCACAAAAAAAGCAAATAAGGAGGAACTGCTAATAAAACCAAAAGATTTGGCCATCATTTTTTTTGCTGTAGTGGTTAGAAGTTGTTACTGTCTTGAAAATCCATGTAGATTTTAGCGGGAGGCTTGGACATCATTCAGTTTGTGTACATTTATGAGCGTTCCAGGTACAGGTTGTTTTGGTGGTGTGTGTTTGGGTTTTTTTTTTTTAAACGAAAGTAAAGTATTCACTGGAGACAACATTAAATTGGTATAAAACTTCCTTGGATTAACATAGCTTCTTCCTGTTCCCAGACTCGCTAAAGATACTTTGGCAAAAGGTCGGTATTTGATCATTTCCATTCTGTCTGCATTCTGGCTGACTGCAGGTTTGCTGATAAAATTGCCGCGTGGAGGTTAAATGGTGAAACTTCCGTGTCTGAGGCTGTCGCTGGCATGTCACCGCAGAACCCTAGGCGATTCTGTTGGCAGAAAAATGCCCTTCTCAGCATAGCCTGGGCTTGTTTTGCTACCACTGCGCTATTTAAAGGAAAGGAAGAGGTGATCTTCAAATCACAATATATGTAATACCTACAAATATTTTGATTTTTTTTTTCCTGTTTTTTATTTAATACACTATACGTTGATATATATCTTACTCAAGACCTGAAGAGGCAATGTGACCTAAGGATACACGTTTGCCAAAAACTGTTAAAAGCTCCTTGATTTGCAGAACTGAGTATTTAAATTACAGCACTGAAGTTGTCTGCACAGTTTTCTTCATCCCTGTGTATATATGTGTTACGATGCAGTGTTAGATGACCACAGCCTGGTTTACTCTTGGCAGTTCTGCCTCCGTGCACAGGATAATTGATCTTCAGGGGGTTATGTACTGCGTGAGGCTCTTGGACACGCTGTAGTGAATGAAGTTGAAATGAACCTGGTGAGTAGGTCGGGAAGTTGTGGAGCAGAAAGGATGGGTTTGTGCTGAGGGTGGCTGAAGGTTCCCTGGCTGTGGTGGTTTTTCTGTGGGCAGTTCAGAAGCTGGTTAATAGAGGAATCTCTCTAGGAAGATGGAGCATATCTGTGCAGCACACTAATACCGTGCGTTATAGGACTTCCTGCGCAGGAAGAGGTGTGGCAGGTACTCCTGTTCAAACGGGCATCTAAAATGCATGCAATGAACTCTGTTATGCCAATGGCTATGGTGTTCTGAGTTTTCTGTCCCTGAGATGTCTGTTGCTTTATTAGATAATATTGCTGCTTTGTATGAACAGAACGCTAATAATAGGCAAACCTGAGCAACATGGAACGTGTCAGCAGCATCCAGGCATGCTCCTGTCCAGGTTGGGGTTGTAGGATGGCTTTTCTGATGCTCTCTGACTTGCTTGAGGAACGAGGGGTTGTTCAGCAGTAATCGGGACCGTATTCCGTGCTCGTCTGAAACTGCTCCCACAGATAGCATCAGCTTTAGCTACATCTTACATAGGACGTGTCCTTTACATGTGGACTCAAACTTGAGGAGTTCAGAGCATTTACGTGTGGGTTTGGGGTCATACACATGATAAGTGAATTTGTAGTATTTAGATGAATACAATGCTTCCTTATCTCGAGCATATCTGTCTTCAGTGGTACTTGTTGTTGATGCTTCTATTGTATACGTGCGGCCTGGCTGGAGGCAGCATGGCTTGCTCTCGTTTTGGCCAAAGTTTAAGAGTTTCTTTTCGTTGCCTTTTCAAACTGATTTCAGAATCCACCAGGCTACAAAGTGTGGTGAGATCTTTGCCAAGAAGAAGAAGGACCTATGGATCCTTAGCCCTATTTTGGTAGGCAAAATAGCAGAACATGGAGTTGCCAGCTGTGAAAGAGCTTGGTCTTGGAGTTTTCTCTGTGCTGCAAAGAGAAAAATGTGATGCACTCGGCTAAATGTATTTGCTATGGGAATTTGCTTTGGCTAGTGCAGTTTTTAAGACCTGTTGGTTCATGCGGAGGTCAAGGAACATTTATGTAAGAGAGTCTTCAATAACATTCCTTTACCTTGGCAAGTTGAAAAAGCACAGCGCCAATTTTTCTCCTCTTTTGAGTATTAAATTTTTGCGTGGATCCTTTTGACTTCCAACCAAACAGTGAAATTGCTTTTAAAATCTGAAGACGGCGTTGTGTAGAGGCAAAGGGACATGCATTATGAATTAGTTTGGTGAAATGAGCCGGCTGTTGCTCGGGGGCGCAGAGGTGTCGCAGCGGAGCGTGCATCCATGCCGTTGGTAGCTGAACTCTTCTTCCCTGGAAGAGGATGGTTGTGTCAAAACTGCCTTGTGAGGAGAGGTTTCCCGAATCGTGCTGGGATGTTAAAAAGCAGCGTCATAGATGACACCCAAAAATTGTGCTGGGGAGTGAGAAAAGAACCAACATGAATGA